ATGATTTATGTTGTATGAATCATGAATTAATTTGGCGAATTGGCGTTGAAAATTTGAAATGAGAATTGTGATTTCACTTATTTGTGAATTTGTGATTTGTGGTAAATAATTTATGTTGCACTATTGTTTGAATTATGAATTTTAATTTATCATTAATGAGTAATTGAGTTGTGATTTGAGAATTACGATTCAACAATGCGTACTCTGATTTTTTAATCAATTGCAATTGAAAAATAAATTGGGGCATTTTGCAATTGTAGATTATGGAACGACTTTTTCAACCGAAACGAAAGTTCATACCTGTTATATATATGGTAAACCTTTCAACCGAATTGTTTACCCCCTCTCACATGCACGCGGGCCCCGAGTGAATAAAAAAATCCCAAGATGTGATCCCCACCCTGGATTAGATAAAAAAATTCGATACATGTAGTATATATTGAATAATTTTTAATATTATTTAACTAAATATTAATAAACGACTTTGCTCTTACGATCGCTGATTGTCGACGATCAATGGTTAACGTCCGTCCGGATTGAACTTTTGTGTTGGATCCGCCACTGAACATGATTATTTCTCATCTAAATTTAAACGTTAAGCAAAAATATATCAAAATCATTAGAAAGACCCAAATTATTTCATTGTTTTGTTCGCAATTTTACTTCGATTTTTCCCGCCACGTAAATAATGGGTTAATTACCAAAAACGAATAGCAGATATTTAAGATCTGAAATCATTAAAGTAAAACATAATAAAAAATACAAAATTAATTTTGAATTCAGAAACCGTACCCAAGTGCGAATTTTGTGAAAGAATGACATAGTTGGGAGTTAGAGATCTAGAAATTTAGAGCACACCTAAAGGAATACAGAGAGGCTTTAGCTTTGACAGTACAGAGAATTTTGATTAATCAATTATTCCGGGGTGGAGCCCTAAAGAGGAAGGGATCGAGCACTGGACCATCAAAATGAATATATTATCTTGTTCTTGTCAAAACTTGAAATAGAAGTTTTGAGTAGGAATAGAAAGGTGAACCTTTTGATAAAAATTAATGATATATGTGGTTGAAAAATTGTGGATTTCATAAATATATATGGTTAAAATTAATTATTGACTTTAACTTTAATAAAAATATTAATTTTAATTTCTATCAAATAGATGCTAAAGTTAGTGATGAAACCGAGGGGATTGAGTTGAAAGAGTTATGGGTGTTTAGGACATTATATATATGTCCAAAAAGTGGTATCCTAGGACATGTCAAATCAATAACTCTGAAATAAATACTGATTTAGAGTTATTTCGGAGGAAAACTCGTGAGTTAGGCTACTCAAAAAGGTTTAGGTTAAAAAATAAGGGAAACGTGTCGACACATAATTACGTAATTTGAAAAATAAAAAAAAACCCAAACAGACAATACCTGTTACCCCACCCTGTCAATAACCCTGTTCAAGGAGCATTATACAAGGCTCATAGAATCCATAGACACATTACTCTGGCTGCTTTTTATTTTTTATTTTATCATCTCTTAGTGAAAAGTTGTCAAGTGTCCCCCTACAGCTCACTGATTATGTCTCCTTGGCAGTGTAGCACAACTCACTAATTTATTTCAAGGAATAACTGTAGAAGAATATATGCTTGATGTTTGTACAAATGGATAAGCTTTTTACTTTTCATTTGGAACTTGAACTACAATATAGAAGAGTAATTAATTATATTATTATTATTTTCAATTAAAATTGGGAGAGCTCTTTTAGCGTCCGTTTGAGACCCGTTTTTTTTCTAATTTTTCTCTTTTTCCTTGGTTTTTGGACAGCTTCAACAGTTGCATGACTGATTATTTGCCTGACTTCGTACAGCTTTTTCTACATTTGGCAGACAAATTTTGAATATGCCGACTCTGCCCTTTTTTTACTTGTTTTTGAAATTAGAAAGTAAGGGTAATAATAGTAGGTATTTTGGTAAATAGTGATGACAAATTGGATATATTAGTCACGAGGAATTTCAACGGTTCAATAGCCAAAAATCTCTGGCACAACTCACCAAAATGTCTGCTGTGGGGCCCATAAAAAGTCAATAATGAGAATGAGAATTTGGAAAAAAAGGGGCTCAAACGGGGCCTTAAAGTCCAAAGACTCGAGTAAAAACATGTTTTCTTAAAAATAGAGTTGTTTGGTTGTGGTCAAACAAGTACTGCTTATTGATTAAAACAAAAAGAAAAGAACTAATACGTAGGTCGATCAAGTCATAAAACAAAAGCTCCTAAATATTGACAAGATGCGGAGTCATGACCATGCTGTATACGCCACCCATAAAAATATGGAGCATAATACCGTGGAGTAAGTTTAGACTACATAATAATAGATAAGATTTTAATTTTTTCTGTCTAGTTCTTGATAATACTTAGTTCAACAAGTGTCTCTCACGAAAAATGGCTTCGAACTCCCATAAAATTATCTTCATTTTATTGGAAGAAGTGGAAGAAGCTGTAAGAATTTGTTTTGAAAGACATTAATAAAGGCATTGTTATTCAAATGTCATCGATCAATTTGTATCAAATTATTTTTTTCCCTTCTTTGGGAATATTTTTTCGGGTATTTTGAAGTTGATTATAAGATATTTGCGCCCTGTTCGGTAGGAATTAAAATCCAATTAAAATTGAAAATATGGCCGTTATTGGGTCCCACTCGTCTAATAAAAGTCAACAATAACGGTAATTTTTTCAATTTTAATCCCTACCGAACGGGCCCTTGATACGTAAATATTTGATACGTAGAATTAGACACTTAACCCAAAATACTGTAATTCTAATGAATTCTATGTACCAAAATACCTTAATGATAAGATGGCAATGGCATTAAATCTTGAACAGTTCTATTACATGTGTTATTTCATAGGTCTAAAGAACATAATATTACAAATATTTGAAATTCTATGCACTTAATAAATAAAAGCTAATGTAGTGTACCTAGCTTGCTTTTTACTTTTAATTATTATGGTGATTAGATCTCATTAGAGATTTTTTGGATAGAACTAATAATTTTGTCCAAACCAAACAAAAATAATTGAAAACACAACTCACTAGCTACTGAATTCAATGAGAATGATTATGATCAAAGAAAATTAACACACAAGATGTTTCTTCATTGTTATTAAATTTATTTTCTATTGTCTAAAATAGAAATTTTTCGAAATGTTATGTATAAATAAATTAAAAATTGTCTTTTTTTTGGGATCATGCAAGGTAGTAAAATCTCATACTTGTCAATATTTTTCAAGAATGTTATACTATAAATGATTTTTAATTTCACTTTTGAATATAAATATTTTTATACGAATGCATATCATAATTTTCCTTTTCCTTTTTTTTTTTTTTTACGAAAACCTTTAGTTAGTATAATTGGATTGACTCACAAGATGACTATCATTTCTGTCAAGAATTTGGTTAATTTTCAAGAATATGCTCATGAACTTGGGTTTCTTCTATGTTAAAACCAATATTGTCTAAAATATGGACGAGAGTTCAAGCTCTTTGATGTGAAATTAAAAATAGGGAGGAGAATTCTTTTGAGATACTCTAATACTTAAGTTGCCCTTCAAACAATATGGGAGCCTTTCGGTTCGTACTGCTCATACTCCTATATCTTCACGGCACCTCCACTACCGTAGTGTAAGCAGGGAGCTCCAATAATGAAATCTTTAGAAATCATTGAACAAAAGTAAGGAGTGACTTTGACTTCAAATAGCACTTCTTGTAATTAATTATGCATACTAAAATCAATCATCACTTGATTGTAACATTTAATTCATCTTGAAAATTCGAGGAGGTCAAATTTATGAATAATGTTACATGTACATACAAACTTTACAAATGAGTTTACATTATGCCACATGTCAACATCTCATTAGATTTTGGACAAAAAATAAAGTTAAAATGATCAATCAGGTACTGCCATCTCAACCCCATAAAACTGTTTGTATAATTTATCAAGGATCATTTCTCAAATTTATATGGAATAGATCACCTTCTACGTGAGGGTGTGGACATCATTATATACAATGAATTATGTACAAGTAGCATAATTCAATTTGTATACCTCTTCTTATAAGTAACATTCGGTATAATTTGCTAACAGCCTAACACTCGTAAATTCCACATGGCAGCTCAGCTGTCAGAATTACTTTGGACTTAACAATGATTCACTGTCACGCAGCAGCCAACATCATGCAACATGCACAAATTAAATAGAACATACACAAAAAAGTCAACCTACTGGGAAAAAAAAGTAAAGAAAAAGAACAGGATACACGTTAGCCTCATGTTTGGTTTGACCTAAAAGACTCGAATTTTTGTTTAAATCAAAATAAAAAATTAATTTTAAGCACAAATTTCATAATTTTTGTCAACTTTTTAATTACACATTTCATCAATTTTCATTAAAATTTACTAAAAATATGATTTTTAACTAAACCATACTAGGACTAGAATCAGAATTAAAACGTCTTATTAACAATAAAGGCCGGACGAAACCGATTGATGGCATAACTAAATTTTAGCCTAGAATCTCGATTAATTGATTCTCCCACTTCATGTATTTTGTGTACGAGCCTCTTTAAATTGGGACAATTCATATACGACCCACTTCGAGAAGACTCTATCAAAAGACGATTTTATATGCATATGTGATAGAACTTTCCCCTCAAGCCACGAAGTT